CTATTTCGATTTTTCCCGTGTTTGTCTCGTCCCTGTTAATCTCAGTGTCTTTAGATCTGGATTTTTGTACGGACGAAACCTAACGGGAAGAAACAACAACAACAACAACAATAATAATAATAATGATAATAATAATATCCTCCTACCTTGTAATTTAAGTGGGTATGTAGTATAATGTTTAGCGTGTCGGAACGAGAAATTAAAGTTGCGATCGTTACAAAGACTTTCGCAAAATCAGGCTTGCTAAAGGTATGAATTTCCTATTAAATGCCTCAGTTATGGGTTAAACAACGCAGCAGACAGGTCCATCCAAGCTTAGAAAGAAAATGCAGACACTGGAAACTGTAAAACGATTGTTAGACATGGGGACTAGATATATGTCTATAAATACCCAATAAATTTCAACAAATGTCAAGGATTCCTTGTTTTTCCAGATGTTGATAGAAATGGGCATTGTGCGCAAGGAAGTAGCAATATTGGAATGTGGTAAAAATCAATATTTGAATCATATGTTTATTATGGATTCGAACGCTGATTCGAACTCTCATTCGAACAAATATTATGAGACCAGCCACATCAGTAGAGTTTGAATTAAGGTTGGAATAATCTTTCTCAGTGGAATAGGCCAGCTGGCTTAGAAAAATCATAGAATCGTATCTTCTTTAGTTTATATCGTGACAGTGTCATATTATCATAAAATGACAGAACTGAACTTAGATGAGTAACTGTTTGGGAACACCGTGTATTGTAAACGGCCTCGTCCATTCCGAAGTGTTTCGGCTTTAACACACAAAGTGTTGATAACCCGTAAAATACAAATCAATCAACATCATATGTAGCTGGAACTGCTGTTTGAGTGACTACATTCGTTTTTCTGCTACAGAATTACGATCAGGAAACCCTTTGCCTATCAGGGTCTTGGGGGCACCACATGTACTGCAGCCGTAGCAGATGTGGTGTTTCCTGGGCAAGATAGCCTGACGGAGCGCAACCCTCTCCGGTTTGAATTAAGAGTTTTCTTTTTCTTAGACCGTTTTCCACTCAAAGCTATAGAACCTAGTGTGTCCTGCTATTTACCCATAGCAGGAGGAAGAAGAGGATTCTAACCTTTCCCAAGGCTATAAGCACGTAAGTGAATGTAATGGATCCGACTGGAATTCGAACTCGGCTCTTCTATTCCTTAATCCGAACCGCTATCCCCCGTGTCTCAATTATCTTCAGACATATCCCATAAAGTCACACTGTCTGTCAAGCAGTCGTTTTTGTAGTAATAAATAGCACAGCATTTGATCTGTACTGGCTACTTTTATTTGCCTCTGGAAAGAATTCTTGCCGACTACTTGTCAGTGATGAGGAGGGTGAAAGGAATGACAGAAATTCTCAGTCCTAACATATTTCAAACCGTTTTTACGCGTCCAAGGGAAAATTTCTCTCTAAATAAATTTGATAGGAAAAATTCCTATTTTTTTTACCAATAAATCTCTTGTTCTAACTAGTTGCCGATTCATAAATTCGCAGGTCAATGAAAAGGCATCTACACATTCTACATTTTTTTCTGTTTTTTTTCGGCTTTGTGGCGGTAAAATAGTGCTCACAGATATATAGTATTTCCGAAATATGATATATTTCCAACAACCCGTGTGTCTTTTATCAGTTAAGCCCTCTTCTTCTTCTTCTTCTTCTTCTTCTTCTCCGTCTCCTTCTGCTTTTCCGTCTTCTTCTTCTCCGTCTCCTCGTGTTTTTCCTTCTTCTTCTTCTCCGTCTCCTCCTGATCTTTCTTTCTTTCTTCTTCTTCTTCTTCTTCTTCTTCTTCTTCTTCTTCTTCTTCTTCTTCTTCTTCTTCTTCTTCTCCTGCTCTTCCTTCTTCTTCTCCGTCTCCTCCTGCTCTTTCTTCTTCTTCTTCTTCTTCTTCTTCTTCTTCTTCTTCTTCTTCTTCTTCTTGTTTAACCTTAAATTATTGTCCTTTATTTTACACACACCACGTTAGTCAGTTCATATCTACAAATAAATCAAACTTTCAGCAAACCTTAGTATTAGTTTACAAGAGCTGTGTGTGTGTGTGTGTGTGTGTGTGTGTGTGTGTGTGTGTGTGTGTGTGTGTGTGTGTGTGTGTGTGAATTAATAGTTGACGGCGGGAGGAATGATATGAAAGAGCAAAGTCCAAAATATCAGTGGATTCTTGGTTCACTAGCCTTGGTAGGACAACGAATCATGAAGAAGGGAGTCAATGAAAGCAAAACCACCGATCAATCAAAAAGAAATAACACCATGGCACCATTATCTAAACTATCCATTTGGGAATATAGTGCTTTGGCTAAAAAAAAAATAATTTTTAAAAATTTTTATTTCGAAGTACCCCCACCCAATTCCGTATAAGATAAAAACACATAATACTCTGTTACTCGATTTGCTGAAGTTGAAAACAAACATGTCTCCGTTCTCACCAAGGCGGATGTCTTCCCGAACTCTATCCTGAGTCCTAAGCTATTTCTGAACTGATCTTCATCAATGACCTCCGTCGTTGGTACCAGGTCCCAATTATGTAACCTTTACTCTGGTTTCGGCAAAAGATATCCAATCAGTGGTTAACCGGGGCAAGAAATGACATCTAAATTTTAACGCCAACAAAACAAAACCCTCTGCACCTTTTTGATCTTACGTTTTTCTCTGACTTGAAGTGGAGCGACCACATCGAAGGAATACCTGCATCTACTGCAAGGAAAGTTGGGTTACTGTATCGTGCCAAAAGATTTTTTTCTCGTTAGAATCCTTCATGCACATGTACAAATCTACCAATCGTCTGTGTAGTGAATACTGTTGCTATATCTGGTCAGGTGCTCGAACATCTCGAGGTTCTTGACAAAATCCAATGAAGGATCTATAATATAATCGATCATGACTTACCATCTTGAGATCAATCGCTTTCTCACAGACTTAATATGGCTTCCCTCTTTCTTTTCTACAAATATTTTCATGGCAATTGCTTTGATGAGCTTTTTCCCCCTGGTGCTCAGACTACATGAATTTAAGCGTGCTACTAGATTGGCACCTAGGTCCCACCATTTTATTGTTGAAATAATTAAATATAACCGCCACTTCTACTCTAACAGTTTCTTTTCTTGCACTTGCCTCCTGTGGAACTCGCTTCCGTTTACTTTTCTCCCTAATAACTACAATCTTCAAAACTTTAAATTAAACATCAATCGGCTCTTCTGTCTTCTTGTCTTCATCTTTTTTTCTTTCCTCAATCCTTCCACTTCTCAATCTTCCCTTTCACTTACACTCTATGTAACACCTGCGCACGAGTGAAATTATCTCCTTGCTCGAGGTGAAATGATTTAAAAAATACACAAACTCTGTAAAAAAACAAAAACAAAGCAAATCTCGAATTGTAAGACTCGATTCCTATTATCATAGTAGGTTTCATGGGAGAAAATAGACAATTTCGACTCCGGGAAATAAGTTAACTTAAGCCAATAAAACCGGCAGTTGAGCTACAGGTAGAGAGATAATTTCATTGGTCTAATCCCGAAGCCGGTGAATTTGACGATATTTCAATGTGTTGGGTTATTTAATATCAACATGGATTGGTGTATTTAATATCGAAATAATTTACTTTTATCATATTTTCGTCTGTCCGCATTTACTCAGTTCGAGAGAACGTAAATATTGGTCGTATATATTTACGTCGATAAGCATTAACTTAGTTTAAGGATAGGCAAGTATTATTCATTTATTTTTTCATTTTTTAAAACTTTCACTCATACTAGAGTTTACTCTTTAGTTCTTGAGTATTTTTCTTAATTCTGAGATAGATGAAATTGCTTTTTTATATTTGAGATAATGTTTTATGAATACGGTGGAATAATGGATATTCGGCTCGGATTGAGGAATCGGAGAGCCACATTCGAATTCCAGTTGAATTCATTACATTACATTATATTCACTTACATGCTAATACCTGTGGGAAAGGTATGATTCCTCTTCACCCACCAGCTATGGGTAAATAGCAGGACAAACCGGGTTCTATAGCCTTGAATGTCATGTGGTCTACAGCAGAAAGAAATGTCAACCTACTGCGGGAAAAAACTGCCTCGTCAGTATCGAAAAATACATGATCACCTAAGCGTGTATAAATGACTGAATAGGCATATATTGCAAGTCTGTATATGAATCTATAAGCATTTAAGAGGTTTTAGAACATGTAAATATAGTTTGATAGTAATTATTGAACTAGTTCACTGATGGGTAAATTTTGGTAGTATATATCTGAGTCTATGCGAATATACTTGAATATACTTAAGTCATTTCAGAGACTGTAAGTATTTTTGTTTGTGGATAGATAAAGAATGGTCTTTATGTGTGATTTTATAAGTATTTGCTTGGTTAGATTACAAATTTAGAGTTGTCTTAACCTTATACACAAAATGCAATCGGTGTTTTTTACGCCCCGCTGACAGAACATTCTAATCACCTGTGAAAGATGATCACGTGTTAATCACGATACCAAAAAAAAAAACCCCGAATATTAACAAATATATTTAATTCTTAGTACACATTTGCTACATGCAGGGATATTTCGTATGATCCAACTTTTCAGTGATAGTGAGTCATTTTTGTTGACCCTGTTCATATTGAGATATTAAAATTGCGTTCACTTCCTCAACCACACGTTACCCACTCCCTACTCGCGCGTCTACTCGTTATCTCGGCAGGGGTATCCACCCATGCTAAGCTTCAGCAGAGAAATCACATAGAGGTTGGGGTTTTTGGCAAGTATCCGATGCATTTGTTCTGGCGTTCGTTCACGAACAGCTATGTTCCGTTATCGTTTCCTTGACCCGTTCAAATTTCTGGCGAGTCTGTGTGTGGGCTCCGAGCTAAATTATAAGTCCTCTTCTGTCTTAATCTGCTGTAAATGTTTCCACCTGGTGAGGTCATCTGGGTCAGCGGGGGCCTGTTTCGAAAGCGACATCAGTCCTGCAAAAGGCGCAGAGTCAATGCACAGGTTTGAGTTAAAGAGTGTGGAGAAACAGCAGGAGTCACGAGTCATCTGTTTACAAGAATATCTATCTATCTATCTATCTATCTATCTATCTATCTATCTATCTCTTGCTGTCTATATCTATCTATCTATCTATCTATCTATCTTCCCCTTATACATATCTATCTATCTATCTATCTATCTATCTATCTATCTATCTATCTATCTATCTATCTATCTAGTTCATATCTATCTATATTCGCATGTATCTTATTTTAATATATCAGTTTCTTCATTAATCTATCTATCTATCTATCTATCTATCTATCTATCTATCTATCTATCTCAGTCTGTTCATATCTATCTATCTATCTATCTATCTATCTATCTATTTCAGTCTGTTAACATCTATCTATCTATCTGTCTATCTATCTATCTATCTATCTATCTATCTATCTATCTAGCTCTTGCTGTCTATATCTATCTATCTATCTATCTATCTATCTATCTAGTTCATATCTATCTATATTCGCATGTATCTTATTTTAATATATCAGTCTCTTCATTAATCTATCTATCTATGTATCGATCTATCATACTGTTTCATCAATCTCTCTTTTTCTCTTTCTCCCTCTATCACAGTTGTTCATTTAACTGCATCTCTCTCCATCATACTGGTTCATCAGTCTATTTATCTATCATACTGGTTTATCGATCTATCACTCTCTCCTTCTCTTTCATTCTCTATCTATCATAGTTGTTTATCTAACTCTGTATCTATCATACTGGTTCATCTATCTATCTATCTATCTATCTATCTATCTATCTATCTATCTATCTATCTATCTAATCCTGTTCATATGTATCTATCGATCTTTATTCGCATATATCTTACTCTTATATCTATCTATCTATCTATCTATCTATCTATCTATCTATCTATCTATCTATCTATCTATCTATCTAAGCCAGTTTGTTCATAGCGACAATGCAACCTTTCTTACCCTCTCACCTATCTATCTACACATATACCATATGTAATGGCTATATTCGGGTATTTAAAACATGTCTAAATATTAGGTGTATACACACCTTGCATCCCTTAAAAATGATTATTAGATGAGACGAAATCTTGTAACAAACAATCAGTTACATAATTTATGCATGCTCCATGTACAAAAAATACTTACTTGTTCAAACACAAAAATAAAAAAAGAAACTTAACAGATGTATCTCGTCTGTTATTTTCAACTGAATACACACACACAGACACACACACACACACAAACATATATACATATGCGTACATATATATATATATATATATATATATATATATATATATATATATATATATATCATAGTTGTTTATCTAACTCTGTATCTATCATACTGGTTCATCTATCTATCTATCTATCTATCTATCTATCTATCTATCTATCTAATTCATATCTATCTATCTATCTATCTATCTATCTATCTCTATATATATATATATATATTGAATATATATTGAACAATAAAAAATATTAAAAAATTAAAATCTTCAGACACACTGGGTTGTATATTAATATTCTTTCGTTTTTATTATAATTTCCTTTAGATTCCTCGACTAGTTTCGGCCAACATGGCCATCATCAGGAGAAAAAAGAAATTCTGCTTGTTGGTAGTAGTGAACTACAGAAATGAATGTCTTGATGGAAAAAAAATGAACTTTAGTCTGTAGTTTTCATCTATTTTTTTTTTAACATGAATTTAGGTCAGTCCTTGTGTTGGTCAAACAGTTGTTATTTGAGATACGACCTGGATCGATTCATGCTGCTCTGAATTCCATTTTGACAATTTTATTGGTTCCTGGAAAGCGGATGTGTGTCTGTTATGGGCGTGTGTTTGTGTGTGTGTTATTTGGTTCTTAGGGAGTGAGTGAGTATGATGTGTGTAAGCGTGTATATTACTGTGCGCGTGTGTTATCATTTGGTTCATTAGGGGTGAGTATATATATATATATATATATATATATATATATATATATTCCTAAATGAGGATGAGGATGAAAAAAGGCTTGATACTTTAACTCAATTTAATTTTTATAATTATATTGAGGTTTTCGGCTCTCGTTTTTGAAACATGAGAACTCTTATGAAGCGAAGAAATTATATTTTTTTAAATAATTATAATTTAAGCTCTACTTCTGTATGGAGCACTGTTTTTTTTTTAAAATAAAAACAAAAATACTAAAGAACTCCGGATTATTTACCTAACGTGTTCCTTCCTATTTTTCTAGATATCTGCATATATATATATATATATATATATATATATATATATATATATATATATATATGACCTGTTTGACATCACTATGAGATCATTAGACTCTGCAGAGTCTTCTGACCTTGTTGGTCTTCTAATACTGTACAACTTAACGGCACACCGCGAAATTGATATTTAGTGAATTTAAAAAACTAAACTTAAAGATAATTGTCTCTTCTAATTTAAAAAGGGTTAACTTCCTC